AAAAAAAAAAAAAAAAAGAATAAACAAGACAGGCTGAATACAAAGCTTATCCCAAAGAGATCTCCAGTCCCTTCCTAACTAGCACTTATTTAGGGGTCAGCTAGAATTTTTGAAAAAAATTCTTTACAAAAAAAGAAAAAACTAAAAACCAAAGAAGTATGAGCCAAGCTAAACAATGAAGCCATTGAGAGACTATTCGGATCAGAAAACTGTCCTATGTCAATGCATGGTCTACAGTTCATGAGTTGGTGGGGTTCACCACACCAGCATGTAGATACCCTAATTCTGTGCCACACGATTCTAGGTCTGAACTCTATTTCCATATTTGATGCCTAACTTTGTGTTCTGCTTCTCCTAAGATAGCTCTTAGCCACTTGAATCAAGCATCCTATTTTCTGAATTGTAGAAAGGTAACTGGATACCTGCTACTCAAGAATACAGAGACTTCTTAACCACGTTTTGGGTTATACAGTCATGGTCACTACTGTACTGTGGGAAGGGCACACAGGAACAAAAACTCTTGAGATGCTTCAGGCTACAGGGCCAACCTGGAGTTTTAAATGACAGGAAGCTCAGTGACATTATCAGTAAACAAGCAGCTACAAGATGCCACCTGAGTACTTAAATCCCAATTAAGTAAAGGATGCTCTTTCTCATTAAGGTTATCTAGGGTTTACTGACATTGTGTTTGGGTTCCCTGAATTCCCATTTGAAAATTAAAGCTACAGTGAACTCCTCTACTATGTTCTTACAGAAGTAACACAAACAAGGATCCAGGAGAGAGCCAGGTTAGATGCTGCCACGCAAAGTGATCACTGACTGACAACAGTAAAGAAAAACGGGAGAAACCACCATGGAGATTAACAGGCTCCCAAAAAGATAGTGACGGAACGGTTCCTTCCTAACAGGAAGAACCTGGACATAGTTTGGATTTTAGGCTTAAATCCAAAGCAGGAAATGAAAAATGGTATTTATTTTCCTTAGCAGGGTGGTCTCCAAGGATACCGGGGAATGTGTACTTTTGTACTGTTAAAGGTAGATGGGATGTGTCTAATTTTAGCTATACTTTTCTGTTGGACTCCTTCCCCCCACACAGCATTGCCAGGAGCCAACTGCCAGTGGGGAGGGGAGAATGCAAATACCACTAAGTGATGCTCTCTGACAGAGTGACAGTGCCAACGATGTGTTTAGCGTTGTAAATAATGTCAAGTTAATCTTAGAAAAGGCTCCTTTCTTTTAAAAATATGGTCAAGATTTGTTTTTAAAGATCTTCAAAACACTGTCCCACTCTATGTTCTCTATCACCAGTGGGAAGCCAAAGTTACAAGGATATATTTTCCCTCTCTAATTCTAGTATGCAATTAATTTTTTTTTAAATTCAAATACAAATTTATGAAGAACCAATCTGCAAACTTGTTTCACAATTTAAAATAATATATGAGGATCAGGGGACTACTGTGAAAGTATTTTACTGACAGTTACCTTGTTGTTGTGTCATGTGTCACCCCATGTGTTACAGAGTAGAAGTGAGCGCCACAGGGTTTATTGTAATCTTTGCAGGAGCAGATCACCAGGCCTTTCTTCTGCGTACGGTTGGGTGGGTTTGAATCACCCACCTTTAAGATAATAGTCAATCACTTAACCATTTGCACTACCCAGGGACTTTACTGGCAATTAAAGGCATTAAATATATAGAAGTAATTTTCACTGCATGAAAAATCTCCTTCCTGCATATATTACTGAGCAAAGTAAAGGTTGAGACCAGGATACCAGCCTTAGCAGTGGCCTGGGACTCGGAGAAACAGCATGGAAGGGTGGTTACCTTGTGTGGGAAGCAGCATCATTAATGCTGAAAGTGCTGTTCTCCCTTGTCAGAGGGCCTGAGCCTATTTGGCTCTTGCTGTGGAGATCCAAGCTCAGCGAAGACTCTGCCTTCCGGTCCATGCCGTGGCTCTCTGCCTCTAACGTCCGGTCTGCCAAGGAGATCACTTCACTGGAGCTGTGCCACAGGGCTGCCACTTTCTCCTTGCCAGGCCCTGAGCGAGGCGACGACGTGGCGGCCCCCAGGGAGGCCGTGCTGCCGTGGCTGGGGCCGTAGGAGGTGGTGTCGATGCCGCTGTCCGCAGAGGTGCCCTGCAGATAGTTATAGCTGCTGAGTTCGGATTCCGTGCGGTCCCCATCATACCACTTCTCGTCACTGTGGGCACTTGATGCATTGCTGGAGAGGGTATTGCTACTGGAGTGGCTTGAGTAGTGGCTATCAGACTGAAAGGGAAGCAGGATTTACTTAAGTCCAGGATTTGCTTTTTCAACACCAGGAAAAAAACTAACAGGAAAACAACCCTGTGATGTGTGTCTAGTTTGGGGGTTCTCAAGGCACAAAGGTTCTAGCAATGACAAATCAGAAATAAGAGGTACCTGGGAAAATCTGTGACTCTGGGTGGCAGGGAGCATATGAAATGTTTCACAGACTCTATATTTCATTATCTGCCTTAATGCTAAACTATCAAGAATACTGAGATAATCTTCATGAGAAAAAAACAAACCTGTCATTAAAATGTCCTTAATATCTTAGTCTTAAAAATCTGAAAGAAATAACACTTCCAAAGGACTTAAAATTAGAAAGTATGCTTGACTCTAAAAGCAAATTAGGTAGGATAAGAATAAACAAGACAGGCTGAAGACAAAGCTTATCCCAAAGAGATCTCCTGTTCCTTCCTAACCAGCACCTATCTAGGGGTCAGCATCTAAGGAGTTCAGCTCCTCGGAAGGATGCTTTGAACTCAGGTGAACAGAGACACCAAGACAATTCAAAGGAGGAAAGAATAATCTTTTTAACAAACGGTGCTGGGACACGTAGATATCCACATGCAAAAGAAGGAAGTTGGATCCCTACTGAATATACAAATAAACTCAGAGTGAATCTAAGACCGGAAGATACAGCTAAAAGCTATAAAACTCTTACATGAAAGCGTAAGTCTTCATGACCTCGGATTATACAACAGTTTCTTAAATATGATACCAACAGCACAGGAAACCAAAGAAAAATAGATAATATGGGCTTTATCAAAATTAAAACCTTTTGGGCTTCAAATGATACTCTCAAGAAGGTGAAAAGACAACCCCCAAAATGGGAGAAGCTATTTGCAAATCATGTCTCATAAGAGACTTGTATATAGAATGTGTATCAAGAACTCTTAAAACTCAACAATAAAGACAAATAACCCAATTAAAAAATGGGCAAAGGGCTTGAGTAGACATTTATCCAAAGAAGATATAGAAATGGCCAATAAGCACATGAAAAGATGCTCAACATCATTAGTCACTAGGGAAATGCAAATCAAAACCATAATGAGATACTACTTCACACCCACTAAGAAGGCTATAATCAAAAAGGCAGACAATAACAAATGTTGGCAAGGATGTGGAGAAATTGGAACCCTCATATATTGCTGGTGGGGATATAAAATGGTGCAGCTGCTGTGGAAAACAGTTTGGCAGTTCCTCAAAAAGTTAAACACAGAGTACCATATGATCCAACAATTCCACTCCTAGGTATATATCGGGACAATTAAAAATACGTGTTCACACAAAGACTTTTACGTGAATGTTCATAGAAGCACTACTCATAATAGCCAAAAGTAGAAGTCCGATGTCTATCAACTGATGAATGGATAAATAAAATGTGGTTTTTCCTATACCCACCAACTGCTATCAAGTCGATTCCAACTCACAGCAATCCTTTAGGACAGAGTAGAAATGCCCCATGAAATGTCCAGCATAGGGACTCCATTAGCGCGTTAGTGGTTGTACCAGTGGTGGAGGTAGGGAATGACTGCGAGTGGGTACAGAGTGCCTTTCCAGGGTGATGAAAATGTCCTGGAATTAGACAGTGGTGAGGCCTGCCCACAGAAATCACTGACTTTTATACTTTCAAGGGGTGAATATTATGGTATGTGAATGATATCTCAGTTAAAAAAAAATTATACAGAACCCTTTCTACATAGTGGCTTGGTTGCTTAGAAAGAACATTTTAAAGACTACCAAAAACCTCAAAAACAGTTGAGTCCATACTTCAAGAAAATAAAGTAAAACCTCAAAAGTTAGCTGAATAAAATATATTTTAAATTGAAGGGAGGCAGCAGGTACAGATATTTGGTGGAGATAAAGAAAAGCGAGGAAGGAAGGAAGGAATAATGTGTTTGTGTATGAACATACAAACATACTGTGGCTGGGGAAGGAGTGTGCACTGTATTGGCTGGGTGTATGAGGACATCCAGCTTCACTTCAAAGCAAATGTCTCTTCTCCCAAAAAAAAAGAACCAATCCGTCACTTTTGTGATGTTACTCTAGCTTTCCTCAATAAATGTTTTTGCATTATAAAAACTACTACTACTACTTCTTCTTCTTCTTTTTTTTTAAATATCTGTAGGGCAGAGCTTCTTTTGCTCTGCCCCGCTCTGCCCCTACAAAGCCCCTTGCCACATGTGGCTACTGAGCACATTAAACACAGCTAGTCCAAATTGAGATGTACCAAGAACATAGAGTACATACTAGAATTCTATAGAAATATAATGTGAGCCACATATTAAATTTAAAATTTTCTAATAGCCAAACTAAAAAAAGTAAAAAGAAACAGGTGAAATTAATTCAGTAATACATTTTATTTAATCCAGTATATCAAAATATTGTCACTTTCAACATGGAGTCAACATTAAAAAAACTCTTAATGGCATTTTACTTTCCATTTCTGTTACTAAGCCTTCAAAACCCAGTGTGTGTTTCATATTTGCAGCACATCTCCTTTCAGTCCCTGGTCACATGAGCCATGGTTCAGGTGCTCAAGGTGTGGACAGGAGTTAATACAGTCAGTCTCTGGATTACAAACTAGATCTGTTCCTAAGTGTGTCTTTAAGTCCACTATGTAGGTAAGCCACATCAGGTGCATACAGTTCTTATTTAGCCTTACTTCAGACTCAAAGCCTTTTCAATGATTTAAAAGCTGCATGTGCAGCAAGTGAAGGTGCTTGTGACTAAGGATTTGTTGTGAGTAGGGATTGGTTCAAGCCTTTCAAAAGTGAGGGCAAATTTATGTAACGTTAAAGGGCAAGTAAGCGTTGTGTGTAAGTTGGACTTTCATTACCCAGGGGCTGTTTCTGGACAGGGTAGCTCTGGATAGGAAAGATCAAGCAAAAAATTCCAGGTGCTGTTGTGAGGCCACACTAGAGGGGAAGTAGCATTTTAGGTACCAGCCTGTGGCTCAGTGCAGCGGGACCCTGACACATGAAACAGAAATCTGATGCAGGGTTTGGATGTTATCCTGAGCAGAAATATTCCATGAAGACAAACATCTTTTGGGTCCACATGTAATTCTGAGAGATGTCTATTTGCTCTGTTCCTTTCTGCGTGGGGAATTCTGCAGCCCACTCCTCCTCCACTTTTCATTACGGGCTCTCAACTAGCCACTCTTCTCAAAGAGTCCTACGGATAGCAACTTATCATTCCCATAATATACCTTTTAGTGTTACTTCTTTACACAGGCTCAGTCCTGAGCACAGATGGGGAAAGAAATGTGTTTTAAAGAACCTCACTTCCTGTTTTATGACCACTTTCCCCCTCCTTTCCCTCTTGAAGTACCTCTTTTCAAATCCTCTTCTGTATGAAGGACTGAAGCCTTAACTTTCCTTGGGGCATTTGCCACAAAAGGAAAGCCAAGACCAGTGGTGCAGTTACTGCAGCAGGCTTCCTGATGTAGTAAGGAAATGGTGTGGGAGAGGCTCTGTTGGGGAGCTTGACCAGGGTGCTTTTCAGCCCCAAGACTAGGAGCTGCTACACCCACCAAAGCAGCAGCTTCTGACCTCCAAGGCAGTGACTGCTGAAGCACATAGTTCCTATCCCTTCTCCTCCCTATCCTGCTCTGGGGATGATGAAGAAGCCAGGGTAGGGGCAGTGGGAACAGTGAACAACACAAAGACCAGTGACACTCAGGAATGCACCATAGGGTTTTATGGTTTTGATCTTAAGATTATCAGCAGATATATATATTTTTTCTTAATATTAAAATTACTTTTTATACCCTGAAGATATACTAGGTGGGGTAACATAAAAAAATTGTTCTGGAAGAAAAAACAAAATTTAAATCATTTTTACTTTTTCATTGTTCTAAGTTTCCTGTGCTTTCAAATCTTTTATGAGATTTAAATGATTACATATGTGATACGCTTAGGTAAGAGGCCTGGGCACACACAAGAGGGAGGGAGAATCTACAGACTGGCTGATAATTTGTCGGCTCTCTTACTGTGTTGTATGTGATAACGTCACATTTCCACAGCGAATCTCATGCAGGACTCGGAATGTATACCGAACGCTCTCTTTCTCTTGCTTTAGCTCCAATATTCATTGCCCGAGAGCAAAACTGGAGGAGCACTGGTGGCAGGGCAGTTTATGTGTTCTGCTGCTGACCAAGAGGTTGGCAGTTTGAACCCACCAGCTGCTCTGCGGGAGAAAGACAGGCAATCTGCTTCTGTAATGATTACAGTCTTAGAAACCCTTTGGGACAGTTCTACTCTGTCCTACAGGGTCACTATGAGTTGGAATTGACTCATCAGCAACCAGTCACGGCATGTTGGCCCTCCCCATTAAAGCTTTCCTAAGCATCTCTATGTTAGTTAATATCAACTACAGTGTTTCCTTATCCTATAAAAGGACATGAATATAAATACATAATCTAGCAAAGGGACAGACCAGGGACATCAACTGCACTGAAAAGGAAAACAATAACTTCTTAACTCCCATTTGCCCTTACAGGGTGATAGGTAATTATGTATCACTGTGTAAAAACATAAAAACTCATGCTGCTATGCAAATATATTCCAGATACTTTAGACATGTTACTGGGAAGGCCCAGTCCCTGGAGGAGGATACCATCCATGGTAAAACAGAGTGTTAGAAAAAAAGCGGAAGACGCACAAGATGGACTGACAGACAGTGGCTACAACAATGAGCTCAAGCATGGAAATGACTGTGAGGAAGGTGCAGTGTTTCGTCTTATTGTACGTGAGGTCTCTATTGCACCTGGCAACAACATGAAAGATAAGAGAAGCAGCAGAGGGGAGTCGCCCCATTGTCTGATACCCCAACTATATCTCATGCTTGCAGTGGAAGCAAAGGAAACTCATTTCTAGCACATTTCTATTCCTGGCATTTTAGGACTGCTTATGATTGATTGCACAGATGGCTTTCCACTCAGATCCGTGGAGGTGGCAGGTACATACCAATGAGGTCTCACTATTTATCTGAAAACACCCTTAATGCCATGGCCACAGACGTTTCTGCAAATGCCCAACCTCTGCCAGGATGACTTCCTCTTTTGACCACGTGGAGGAAACAGCACAGCAGTGTGGACCTGTATGTATGATTTTCATTTTGCAATGAAAGCACATTGCTAGGAAGCTACTGGTTTTATTATTTTACAGTTAACTTACATGCCCTTGCTTGTTTGGAGACAAATGAACCACTGGATCCTGCCGCATCAGTCTCCCACTGGGGCTCTCTCGGAAAGCTGGCAGTACCTTTGATACTGCTGGGAGGTGGCACGTTGGCTCTGGAATACAGCACAGGACATTATAGTGCAGCCACTAAATGGATATGAGCACATGTTGACAAATGAAGATGGCCTGCCATTGCATCTTTCAGTTCACTGACCAGCAAACTCTGAATCTTAGCAGCAAGCTTATTGAGAGTCTACACAATAGACAGCATGTCAGGAACTAAGTGGTTGATGGGTAAAGCTTGCAGCTAGTGACAGTATGTCACGTCATACACAGTAGCAGAGCCAAGTACCACCAAACCAAAGGTCATGAACAATGAAGCAGAGTTTAGAACCAACTCTTGGTTTTGGGGGAAGTTTAGAACATATGGGTTAAACTGAGGAAATTCATTCAATGCAAAGTTTAGGCTAACCTGGCTTTGTCTATATTACCTAGACAGGCACGGATGCAATCACGTGTTACTTACCAGGATACTTTGGAAATATTTTACCTGTATATTCATGCTGCTCGAGGACAAAAGAATTGAAATCCTGAGGTCCTCTATAACTGTAAGCTAAGCACAACAGAAAAGACACACAGCAACTAGTTTACTTAAAACAATTGCCTCCTTTGGGACTCCACACTGGCATTAAGATGGGGTTCCAAAGGTGAGAGAGATCAGTGCTTTATCCTCTTTAACACACCTGTAGCTAACAGCAACAATTCGGGACTTGTGGAACATCTTTCCTAACATGTAAAGGACTGGGCAACACAGTCTTTTTCTCTTACTCTCAGCCATTTCCAAAAGCAGAGAGGCAGAAAAACAAACATCCCATCAGATGAATGAGCCAATTAAGCAATTTAAACTCCTAATGTCCACTGTTAGTGAGGTACTGGTCTGTAACACATTGGTGTACAAAGAGAGGGCGATCCAGCTAACAAGTAAGAGTCAGTTGGTGAACTGCAAGTCATTAGAATTTTGTCCTCACAAATTGAGTGTAAAAAGGCCAGTCCTTTACACACTCAATGTAGTGTATTGAGTCATGAAAACTTAGCAGACAATTATTCTTCCTGAATTCTCTTTAGCATGTTTTATATCACATAAGCTCATGATTCCTTCTGATGGTCTGGTGTGTCAACTGGAGAAACCTGAGCTATTCTCCTATCATGCTGGGATATTAACAATTACAAACAATTATCTTAGTTTAACTTATTCCAAGCCTTAGATCTTTGAGTGGAGAAAGGCTACCACTTACATGCTGTGGTGAAAAGGCTTCTCTGGCAGGCTTTTAATAAGGGGTATCTTATTTTAACTAATAATAATAATAAAGTATGAAAAGGAATGAGAAAATGCATCAAAAAGATTAATCCATATTAATTTGAAGGCCTTATCCATTAAGAGTGGGATGCCACTGAACTAAAACGGATGCGAGGGAAAAAACACAAGAGGGAGTTTTGTTTGAAGGAATGAATATGGGTCTAGGATGAACCTTGTAATTATCCTTTCCAATCCCAAGATGCATTTTCGTGCCTCTTATGACTTCATGTAAGTGGGAAAGGCGACACTGCACAGCATACAAAGGGTTTGCTAGCAGCTTTGTTCAAAGCCTGTGCTGGGAGCCAAAAAAAGCTGCTAAAGTCATGCTGAACAAGGGATCCTTCTTACATGTGGCGTTACCATCTCAACCGTATCAAAACATATGGGATTATAAACATTGTGTGGAGAGCGGAGCAGCAGATCCGTACACTCTCAGGTTTTCTGTGTTGGGGGTGGGTGGGATGAGAGTGGGGGACGACAGATGGCTTCAGTGACAAGGCACATCGCAGGGAAGTTACTGGAGCGATGCACATCTTTAGAACTGAAGAATTACATCTCTTCCCTCAACTCCAGTCTTAGCTCCCTCCCTCCTGTGTTCACGGTTAGTACATTCACATGGGCACAGTCACCAGTATAGGACAAAATGATCAATTTGCAGAGAAGGTAAAAAGATAGGTCCTTTGACCTCAAAGTTCATCCTTTTCAGCACTAAAATTAACTTTACTTAATCCCACATGATGGTAATGCTACTAGAGATAAGAAAAAAGGAAAAAAGCAAACAGTCCAGATTCACGTCCCTGACGTGTTAATAGCAAACCTCTGATGCTATTATGTTCAAGCCTAATCTTCTTCAGGGCAAAATGGTATCACGTTAACTAGTGTTATGGTGTCACTGTAGCACAGCTACTTATAGAGAGAGGAAGGACAGAAGTCAGAAATCCAAAGGAGGGCTTGCTAATGCAAATCTTTTCCATCCAGCTGTTACATGCTGCTAAGCCATTTCCTTAGCTGACAACTTAATAGCAGAGTGCAAAAGGAAAAAAAAAAAAAAAAAAGGCACATAACGGAGGAAAGAGATTCTAACCAAGCTACAGATGTGACTATTTAAAAAATAACTGTATCTCTTTCTCACTTTGTATGCAGTTTTTTTTTTTTTTTTTTAACTCAACATTAAGAGTACCAACAAGCATTTAAAGTAGGCAAAAAACCAAACCAACAAGGGGGAGGGAAGTACTTAGGACACATTTCGTAGTCCAGCTTTTAGTCTTGGAGCTGAAAATATGTCCTTTCTAGTTTTAAACACAGAGTCACTGAAGAGTCCCTGACTCGGGCTTATTTAGTGTTTTTACTTATAAATAATCTAATGTAAATTAATTCTAACTCATCTTTACTAACCAGAGATCTACCGTATCACAGAAGAATGCTTCGATGGTATCATCAAGAAATGGCCAAAGTTACCCTTGCAGGAAAAGTAATTTGCTTTTTGCAGAAGTTACTCACCCATCTGGTCGGCAATGCTGTCCTCACTCCTTTGCCAGCTGGGTGTGGATTTTCCACTGCCACCAATATCTGACTGGGTGTTCTGCCTGTCGATGGAGGCTGGGGATCTGCGGCTCACTCCAAACCTGTGGCAAGTCCCCCCAACAAAGGCAAAGAAGACTTCAGAGGTCCCTCCAGGAGGGCAAGTCGTCCTGGAGGCAATGGACTGCGTTCTAATCACAGGCACTGCTAGGAGTGTTTGCATATATGTCTGCACTTGTGTAGATAGACACACAAATGCACGGGTTGAGGTGAACATGCATGGTTCTACTTGTTCAGAAAGGTATGCAGACTACAAATATAAATTGTACATAAGCACAAGCGCCATTAGGACTGAACGTTAACACAGAGCAGCTCTGGTAGCATAGTGCCTAAGGCACTTGACTGCTAATCAGAAAGCTGGTGGTTTAAACCCACCAGCCACTCCTCGGAAGGAAGATGGGGCAATCTACTTCTGTAGTGATACTGCCTCAGAAACCCAAAGAGGGGTCTCTATGAGTCGGGGCCAACTCAATGTCATATAACAAACACCACCACCACCACCACCACCACCACCACCACCTATGTAAAGTGAGACACCAAAATCTTCTAGCCCTTGCAGAGCCAGATTCAGTCACTCGCAGCCAAAGGGAAACATTTTACAAGCTCACTTTTCTAATAGGTGCATTTTAGGGGCTTGATTTTCTTAACACACTCAATTATTACATCATTAAGTCATTTGTTCTTAAAACAAGTATTTTATAAGCATTGGCTCTATGGGCTGAAAATAAAAACTGGTATCATTGACATTACACAGACACCACTTTCATAATGTATAAATTTTCCACTGTTTTTGGGAAGCGCAACTTGGAAGTAGGTAAAACTGGCATACATGAAAGCAAGTATCTACTTCTGGGAAGAAGTTTATTTAGTTATTTCATGAACCAGTCTCCCCACCCCTTGTATAACACTAATATGTTGTTGTTGTTGTTAAGTGCCGTCGAGTCGTTTCCAACTCATAGTGACCCCATGCACAGCAGAACGAAACACTGCTCGATCCCGCGCCAGCCCCACAATCCCTGCTATACTTGAGCTCATC